GTGCCCCCCCGTGCCCACCTGTCCCCCCCAGCTCACCTGGAAGTTGCGGTCGATCAGGGTGTTGGTCTCGAAGTCGTCGTCGTCCTCCCCGAAGGGGTTAATGAGCTGCTCGGCCACCTGCGGGGGCACGGGGTCACCTGTGCGCCAGGTGTGCCACCTGTGTGCCCCCAGGTGTGCCCAGGTGTGCCCAGGTGTCTCTCAGGTGTGCCCAGGTGTGTCTCAGGTGTGCCCAGCTGTGCTCCCCATGCCCCCAGGTGTGCCCCAGGTGTGCCTATGTGTATCTCAGGTGCCCAGGTGTATCTCAGGTGTGCCCAGGTGTGCCCAGGTGTGCCCAGGTGTGCCCAGGTGTGCCCAGGTGTGCCCAGGTGTGCCCAGGTGTGCCCAGGTGTGCCCAGGTGTGCCCAGGTGTGCCCAGGTGTGCCCAGGTGTGCCCAGGTGTGCCCAGGTGTGCCCAGGTGTGCCCAGGTGTGCCCAGGTGTGCCCAGGTGTGCCCAGGTGTGCCCAGGTGTGCCCAGGTGTGCCCAGGTGTGCCCAGGTGTGCCCAGGTGTGCCCAGGTGTGCCCAGGTGTGCCCAGGTGTGCCCAGGTGTGCCCAGGTGTGCCCAGGTGTGCCCAGGTGTGCCCAGGTGTGCCCAGGTGTGCCCAGGTGTGCCCAGGTGTGCCCAGGTGTGCCCAGGTGTGCCCAGGTGTGCCCAGGTGTGCCCAGGTGTGCCCGGTGCCCACCTTGAGCCAGCCCAGGTAGAAGAAGAGCTGCAGCAGGGTGAACACGGGCATGCCCAGGTGTGCCAGGTGTGCCCAGGTGTGCCCAGGTGTGCCCAGGTGTGCCCAGGTGTGCCCAGGTGTGCCCAGGTGTGCCCAGGTGTGCCCAGGTGTGCCCAGGTGTGCCCAGGTGTGCCCAGGTGTGCCCAGGTGTGCCCAGGTGTGCCCGGTGCCCACCTTGAGCCAGCCCAGGTAGAAGAAGAGCTGCAGCAGGGTGAACACGGGCACCCCCAGGTCCAGCTCGTGCCCGGGGTAGCCCCGGGAGGGGTCCAGGAACTGCCGGCCCAGCAGGCAGGTGAGCAGGAAGGTGTACACGGCGATGGTCACCACCTGGGGACAGGGACAGGGACACTGTCACCTCCTGGGGATGGACAGGGACATGGGGGGACACCAGGCAGGTGAGCAGGAAGGTGTACACCGCGATGGTCACCACCTGGGGACAGGGACAGGGACACAGGGGACACCAGGCAGGTGAGCAAAAAGGTGTCCACGGCCATTGTCACCACCCGGGGACAGGGGACAGACAGGGGACATGGTGACGGTCACCACCTGGGGGACGCCGCCACGGTCAGCAGCTGCAGGGGGTGGCACACCTGGCTGGGGTGAAGGTCACCCGCTGTCACCTCCCCAGGTGCTCCCAGGTGTCCCCAGCCCTGTCCAGGTGGCCCCAGGTGTCCCCTCATTGTCCCCAGGTGTCCCCAGGCCTATTCCAGGTGTTCCCATCATGTCCCCAGTTCTGTCCAGATGTCCCCAGTCTGTCCCAGTCCCACCTGGGTGTACACCAGTGCCCCTCCCAGTCCCTCCCAGTCCCTCCCAGTGCTCCCAGTCCCACCTGGGTGTACACCAGTGGCTCTCCCAGTCCCTCCCAGTGCTCCCAGTCCCACCTGGGTGTACACCAGTGCCCCTCCCAGTGCTCCCAGTGCTCCCAGTCCCACCTGGGTGTACACCAGTGCCCCTCCCAGTCCCTCCCAGTGCTCCCAGTGCTCCCAGTCCCACCTGGGTGTACACCAGTGCCCCTCCCAGTCCCTCCCAGTGCTCCCAGTCCCACCTGGGTGTACACCAGTGCCCCTCCCAGTCCCTCCCAGTGCTCCCAGTGCTCCCAGTCCCACCTGGGTGTACACCAGTGCCCCTCCCAGTCCCTCCCAGTCCCTCCCAGTGCTCCCAGTCCCACCTGGGTGTACACCAGTGGCACGCTGATCCAGTCGTAGTGGAACAGGAGGCTGCACTGGGCCCGGAACCGGCTCAGCTCCAGTTTTGGGGGGTTCAGGGCAGGTTTTCGGGGTCCCGGGGGTACCTCCATGAGCAGCTTGAGCGCGCAGAGGTTCAGGGCTGGTTTTGGGTGAGTTTTGGGGGGTTCAGGGCAGGTTTTCGGGGTCCCGGGGGTACCTCCATGAGCAGCTTGAGCGCGCAGTCGTCCCCGATGCGCCCCTCGCTGCGCGCCCGCCGCGCCAGCGCCCCGAACCACACGCAGGGCACCCAGAACTTGTTGTGGGGCGAGCGCAGCCCCTCGAGCCGGCGCCGCTCCTCGCGCGTCAGGAACCCTGCGGGGACCTCGTGTGACGTCACAGCGAGCCGTGACGTCACTCCTGAGCTGTGACGTCATCCCCGAGCCGTGGTGTCATTCCTGAGCCGTGACATCGTCACTGAGCCACGACGTCACATTGAGGCATGACGTCACTCCTGAGCTGTGATGTCACACCTGAGCTGTGACGTCATCCCTGAACTGCGATGTCATTCCTGAGCCATGACATCACACCCTTGAGCTGTGACGTCACCCCTGACCCGTGATGTCACTCCTGAGCCATGACGCCTCACCTGAGCTGTGACATCACTCCCTGAGCCGTGACGTCACCTCACGCTGCCCTGACATCCCAGTGACGTCACTGGTCACTCACTGGTCTGTACCAGGCGGTCAGTGTGGCAATGGTCACTCCCTGGTCACTCACTCCCTGGTCACTCAGTGGCCCACACCACTGGTCAGTGGTCACTCAGTGGTCACTCAGGGGTCACTCACTCAGTGGTCACTATGGTCACTGTGGTCACTCAGGGGTCACTCACCGGCCTGCACCAGGGTCACTCCCTGGTCACTCCCTGGTCACTCAGGGGTCAGTCACCGGCCTGCACCAGGTGGTCAGTGTG